GAGTGTGAGCATCCCGGAGCTGGGACGGTGCTCTCGGCGTTGGAGCTGATCAGTTTGGGAGCGGCAAACACGTGTGTTATCCCTATAAAACAGAGATCAAAGTATAAAAGGGCTTTCTGGCGGAATAATTACAGGCTCTATCTGTGAAAGAGTTTATTAACTATAAAAAAAAAAACAAAACAAAACACTGAAAAACCAACAATAGACCCTTGTGTGTTTGAGAGAGGAAGGTGTTTGCCGCGGGTATCTCTGGAGACAACAGGTCCTGGTTGGGTTTGCGACCCAGGCGCGGTTTCCTATTAGTGCTTGGAGATCCTGGTGGTGGAAATGATGAGAACCAGATGTGGCTGCTCTCACCCCGCTGCCCGACGCTGGGGAAACGCAGAAATAACCAGGGGAAGGGGCTGTGAGCGTCGTCAGGCGGCTCCTGGGCACAGGGGGTACTGATGGAGGTGTCCCCCCACACACAGTCCCTCTGTCCCTAGGGATGGAGGCTGGCAGGGGACGGTGCTGGGGGGCCTGGGGCTCCTCGTGAAGAGCACCACTGGCAAACTGGGAATTCTGCAGCACTTGGGGGAGTGTTTATACAAAAAGGGAGAACAACGCAAATCCCCGCTCTGATTCCATGAGCGTTTATCTGATCCAGAAGCTGTGGTTGCCATCACACAACAAAATTCTTCTCTGTGTGATGGGATTTCTGACCTCAGGTCTTCTTTTTTTTTTTTTTTTTTTTAGCAGGGGGGGTTTCAGCAGGGAGGTAACGTTCCTCCTGCTGCGTGTGTGTGTTTCTCTGAAATCCAGAGGTGCGTTCTCTCGTGGGTTGTGAATTTAACTGGAAATGATGTGGCTGAGCTTGAAGGTTGTGGCTTTTCTTTAGTTTGGTCTCCGCTCAAAGGCCTGAGCTTTCACTCCAACTTTCCAGAAATGTTTTCTGCTGTTTTCAGGTTCTGGAGAGTGGAAGATTTAACATGCTTGTTCCCACTTCAAAAGAAAGATGCCTGCTGCCTTTCCCTGGCGCGTGTGGAATAAACTTGGCGTGCTCATAAGTCTTTAAAGAGAGGAGCGATCCCAGCCAAGTTTGAGAAAGGCAGGAGGAGAAAATGTTTTAAGTTTAAAACTCATTAAAGCTGAGCTGAACTGTTAATCCTTTAAGACGCAGCTAATGGAACTGGTCTGTACTCACATTAAACCTCTGCGTCTCCAGATTTTTGCTTCTTAGGCTAATCTTTCTTTCCCTTTGTTAAACTTTTTTTTCTCTGAAAAGAGGAGTGCCAGGCGTCACAGAAGGGTGTTGGGTAGAGCTTCACCAGCGTCCGAAGGAAGTCTCCCGGGCTGTGGGGCTGAGTGTGTTTGGATTTGTCTGGTGGTGGTTTCACTGCTGGATGTTCTTCTCTGGGAGATCTCCCCTCACCAGCACGTGTTTCCCTCTGATCTCCGGCGATGACGTGCTGTCAGCGCTGGTTCTTGCTCCTCCATCTGCTCCTCCTGCCCCGGTATCGCAGGAATTTGTACCTACCTCTGTGCTGGGCCTCTTTCTTCACGGCCTTTTACCGGAGTTTGAATTCTTTTCAAGTGGCTTAGGTGTGTCCTGGATCCTTTTCCTCTTCGCTGCAGACCAAGAAGTTATTCTTTTGCTCTCTCTCTTCAGCTTTGCCTCGAGTGTTAGGTGAGAAGCAGTGAAAGAAAATGGAAAGGTTTGGTGTAGGCCCACCCTGAATTTGTCCTGAAATCATATTTTTCGGTAAAAGCCAACTTTTTTCACACATTAAGAATATGGAATTGAAGCTGAATTTCAGAAAACTTACTACCGATCTCTCTCAGTCGGGAATCATTTAGCCCCAGATTCTATAGACATAATAGAAATTGCTTGCTGTCCCCAAAAATGTCCTGGCAAAATGAAACGGCTTCGTTCTGCCCCTCTGGGCACGGGGACTCGGTGTGAGTGACATGTGTGTGTTTGAAATCTCTGGAGAGGGGGGAGCAGGGCACGGGGTGAGCCTTCCCCCGCGCTGCCTTTCCAGAGAGACAGGGATTGTTCCACCTCTCCCCCTTCCTCCGGGGACCACAAACCAGCCCAGGGCTTTGGGTGGCTGCGGTTTGGTTTTAATAACTAAAACTGGAGCTTTTGCATGTTCCCGGTCACAGAAAGCTGAAATCTTTGCCGAGTGCTCTGTGTTTGGCGGAGGCATTCCCGACGAGGAGGAAGAGGGTGTGTGGAGCAGCTCAGATGCTTCACAGATAAAGCCACACGCTGGGGAGGGGGGTAGGGGGGTGTTCAAGTCCCTTTCTCACACTGGAGCTGCGTTTTTTGACTGCAGTGCAGCGAGAGGCCTGTGCAGCAGCTTGTCTCCGTGCTGCTGGCTCCAGTCTGTACCGTGTCTGGGAACTACAACTGGGTCTTATCTGCCCAAAACACCTTCCTGGCTCCGGGCTCTGGTGGCAGAACCAGATGTTGTCCCTGCCACAGGGGTGAGTGCCCAGGGGATGGCTTGTCAGCGGGGTGCCAGCCCCCGTGCCTGCGTGGGAACAGAGGTCTGGAGAGCCCAGAGGGGCAGAGCAGGGAGGAGGACACTGTGCTGTGGTGAAAATGCCTCCAGGACAAACAGGGGAAGGTCTGGTGAAGGGAACAGACCCTGGGTGATGGGGCTCTGGGGAGGCTGCTGCCCCCTCTACGGTTCTGCAGCCCTTGGCACTGGGTTATTTGTCCCAGCTCTTTCTCAAAGTGCTCCTGGCCTTGGATTTGCATCTTCTCTGCCTGGTGCTCACCACAACAAAGTGATGGCTTCGCAGCGTTGTGTTGCTCTGTTGCCTCTCTCTATTTTCCTTTCCACACCTACACAACACCTCTGCTTTTAGCAGCTCACCTTGGCCGGGCTCTGCCGTTAGACTCTCGGATCCCGTTGCTGCCTTAGGAGGCTGCTCAAGCGGCCCCACGATCTGCCTGAGCATCCTGAGGTGCCTTAAAAACCAGCCCATCTCCAGGCAAAAACCACAGCGCTTTCCACTGAAGTCCTTTTTGGCTGCAGCTGAACACAAGTCCCTGCTGGGAGAGGGGAAGATCTTGGAGTATTTGATGATTGTAGTCGGAGCTGCGACGGCACCTTCTTGGGAATCTCCTCTGCCGTGGCGTGCCCGGCTCTGGACCCCTTCTCCATCAGCCACATGGTGCCGAAGGAGGAGGAGGATGGAGGGGAGGAAGGCTGTCCCACGCGGGAGGAAGGAACTGCCTGAAGAATTCCAGACTGAAACAAGATCTCTGGGCTTCCTGCTGCCGCGCTGGCTCCTGCTGGGGGATTAGCTGCCGGCGGTGGGTCGGAGGCTTCACATTGTTGTATTGTGACTGGCTGGGGGGGTGCCAGGCAGCCGGGCCCCCTCCTCGGCGAGTCCACGGGCCACCAGGAGCTTCACTGCTTCGGGTTTGCCTCCGTCTGGCATCTGATTAAAGATGCTGTCAGTGTGTCTCAGCCCAGGAGTTGAGGAGGGAAAAGCCTCTCTGATGCCTGCTCTTGGACGGCTGTGTTTTAGCAGGCAGTTTCCAGGTGGTTGGTTGTTTTGGGTTTTTTTTCCCCCACCATTGAACAGGGCAATAAAACTCCATCCCTGGGGGTCTGGATGTCCTCTGGCTTCGAATAAAGGATCCAAGGGGAAAGAGCTGCTGCTCTGTGGCAATATCCCTGGTCTGTACAGGGCAGGGAACTTCTCACTTGATTTAATGCTTAGAGAGGGTTTGGTTTGCACCTTTGGCGGAGGCTGGAGCTCTGCAACAGGCAGGAGGAGAACAAGCCCTTCCCTTGGCCCCATCTGCTCCGAAGGATATTTGGGTGCTGCCCCCTCTTGTGAGCCCCTCCTCGAGAGAAAGGCAGGGGAGATCTCTAGTGCTAATCATGAGCAGAAGGAGGAAAAGGCTTGTGATGCAGAGCCTGGGCCCTGGGACCCCTCTACTTGCCCAGTGACCACCAAACACCCCAACCCTGGGACCTCTCTACTTGCCCAGTGACCACCAAACACCCCAAGATGGTAGTAGCCACTTTGGCTTGGCTTTTATTGCCCATCCTCTGCCTGGCTGATGAGCAGCCCCAACTCCAGGTGCTGCGGTGGGGGGAAGGTGTTCATTCCTCCTTTTATCCCAACATTTCCATGGAGGGAGGAGGCTGTGGCCACCTCAGGGCTGGTGCCCGCAGGGATGGGGTGTGAAGGGAAGATGTCTGTCCCCCAGCGAGCACGGCTGGAGGCCGAATGCCCTGCAGAGTGAGAGCCTGGGCGCTGGCACCGCTTCTATGCCAAGGTCGGGTTGAAAGCAGCAGCTCAATAACGGGGTCCAAAGTATAAACACGTCGGTCCAGCTCCTGCCAAGTAGAAGAAATGCTGCTTTCTCCCTCCGTGCTCTTCCACGCTCCTCCTCGGCCGCCCTCGAGCCCCGTCTGAGCGATAGCAGTGGAGATGGGGTGGTCTGGAGCCTGCTGGCTCGGCTCCCCTCCTCTCTGCTGTGGTTTCTGCTGGTCTGAACTGGCCAGTTTTCCTTTGAGCTTTGTGAGACTTGTCTTTAGGCATTCTCCTTTGAAGGATGCTCTGACCAGCAGCTGCTCAGCTCAGCAGCATCTTCCAGCTCGTCCAGCTGCACCCCGAGAACTGAGGCTCTTCCTGAGCTCGGACATCGCCTTCAGCCAGTGTAAACCTGCAGGATCTTTGTTTTGCCCTCTAAACCGCCCCCGGTTTGCACAGATTTTTGCCAGCTGAAATGTCTTCTGTAAGATTGGTGATAACCTGAGCCGCAAAGCAAAAAGTTTCCAAGGCAGGTGATGTTTGACTCGCTCACCAGTCATTTTGATTGGCAGAAGATACATGTTTTACTGGAATAATAAGAGTTCCTCAGCACTTAGAAAGCTCCCCGGGCAGCTCTTTGGCAGGTGGGGGTCTTGGGGAGGCTTGAGGAGTTGGTTTCAGGTGGTCTGGGTGCCACTGCCAGCTTTGCTGGTGGCTCTCTGTGACGGAATAGCTGCTCATCAGAGATAACAGATGGGGAGACTTGGAACCTCCTGACCCTTTGGTTGATCTAAATCACTGCAACTTGCTCAGCGCGCCGGGCCGGCTGCGCGGGCGGCTGTGGAGCAGAGGCTGGGGATGAGGTCAGGGGACCAGAGGGCTCTGTATTTTTGTGAATGTAAGGAAAAACCCTTCCCACGTCCCCTTCCCACATGAGCAGATCATAAAATCACAGAATGGTTTGGGTGGGACGAGCAGATCATAAAATCACATAATGGTTTGGGTGGGAAGGGACCTTTGAAGGCCATCGAGTCCAACCCCTGCCATGAGCAGGGGCATCTCCAACCTTGGAGTGGGATGTTTCCAGGGATGGGGTGTCTCCCACCCTCTCTGGGCCAGACCAGGGTGCTCAGAGCCATGTCCAACCTGGAGTGGGATGTTTCTAGGGATGGGGTGTCTCCCACCCTCTCTGGGCAACCTCAGCCAGTGTCTCACCACCCTCAGTGTGAAAAAAGTCTTCCTTAAATCTAGTCTGAATCTCTCTTCTTTCAGTTTAAAACCATTCCCCCTTGTTCTATCGCTCCCCTCCCTGGTCAAGACTCCCTCCCCAGCTTTAGGGACTGGCAGGGGCTCGAAGGTCTCCCCGGAGCCTTCTCTTCTCCAGGCTGAACCCCCCCAACTCTCTCAGAGGGGCTCCAGCCCTCCCAGCATCTCCATGGCCTCCCCTGTCACCTCGTGGGGCTGCGTGGTGGCTCAGGATCTTGGCTGTGGGACTGGGACTTGTTGGTGTAACTGGTACCAGCCAAGAGAGAAGTGGCTGGAGAATGTTTCCAAGGAGCAGGGGTGTTTTGAGCAGAACCCCACGCCCCACGGAGGGATGGAGGGCAGGGACGAGGTGCTCAGCTGTCCCCACCGGCAGCGGGGACAGACCCTGACCCAGGAATTGCCGCCTGTGGTGCTTTTACTGGTCCCAGCTGGGTTTCTGCAGGGAAGCGGGGCCTCTCTGTGGTTTTTGGCTCTCGGAGGTGTTTCGTTTCAGCCCGGGGGAAGTGCCCGGCGTGTTGGCAGGGCTGCTCCTCCTCTGCTGTCCCCTCCCCGCCCCGGTGGAAACCAGTGGAAAGCAGAGAGCTGTGCCCAGGGCTCACAGCATTTTCGGCAGGTAGCCCTGGGCTGTGCTGGGCCAGGGAGTTCTCCTTCCTCTGCCTCGCTTCTGCCGCTTCCCAGCAAGCACGGGATGTATATGCAGGAATTCTTAACTGTATATGCAGGAATGTTTAACTGTCTAAGCAGCCCTGGAAGATAAGGAGGAAAAAAACCCCACATTTTCTAGGTTGGTGAGTTAGATAAATATCCCAGAGAGCACATCCGTGAACCAGCAACGAAATTAATATCGGGAGCTCGGTATCAGGGACTGTGATTGGTATTTAACTTGGTTTAACTATTTATTAACTTTTAGTTATCATTAGTGGCACGATCTCTTCTTCCTGCTGCTGGGAATGCTCTGGGAATGCGTCCTGCAGCTCTCGGAGGGGCTGGGCAGAGCTGAAGGGCAGGTTGGTGAGGTGAGGACAGAGCAGGTTGAGGGGGGACTCAGCAGAGGAAGGACGAGGTGTGGAGCAGCTGAAGGGATGCTGCTTTGCTTCTGGAGGTCTGTGAGTGACACAGGGGAGCAGCGAGGCCAAGACACAGTGTATTGAAAACAGGGACAAAGTATGGGTGGAATCAGGCAGGGTTTTGGTGGAATAAGGTGCTGGGGAGACAAAAAGCCCAAAGCTGGGTGTCAGAGAGGCATCTGCTCCTCCTGGAGCTCCTCCTGGAGATTCCCCTTTGCCTTTTCGGCTCCAGGACCATCCCAGCCCATCTCTTTGTGCGTCACCTGCTTTGTATGTGGCTGTTTTCTCCAAACCAGTATCCCTGTGCCATCCCAGTACGTTTGCTGCCTGGCAAAGGCAAACCTGACCTTGACACAAACGCGTGGTTCTCCCTCCTCTTTTAGCAGCGTCGCCCCGTAAGCTGAAAAACTGGCCAGCACAATGGGAAAAAAACAGAACAAGAAGAAAGTAGAAGAGGTCCTAGAGGAAGAGGAGGAGGAATATGTGGTGGAGAAGGTCCTGGATCGGCGGGTGGTAAAGGGCAAAGTGGAATATCTGCTCAAGTGGAAAGGCTTCTCGGAGTAAGTGCCTCCTGGTGTGGTGGGTGCTGGGCTGCTCTGGTGCCAGCATCTCTTCTGCCTTTGGCTCCCAAAACCTCTGGGTGGGTGGTTTGGTCTCCATGTGCCCCTTTCCTTGTCTGTAAAGGAAGGTAACGGGCCAAGGGCAGCCGTGATGATAAAAACAGGGGTGCTAAACACCTCCAGCTCTTACCAGGGCAACGAGGGCACAACCTGAGTGAGAAAATCCCATTTCTGTCTTGCAGACAGGCTGGGCAGTGCCCTGGTGGGGCTTCCCTACCCTTAAACCTAGTGTGAAACAAGCAGCCAGATAAAATGAATTGCGTTTCTCTCCCGAGAAGGGGAATAACTGGGATCTGGGATCCCTGCCTGGATTGGGACAGGGTCCTGTTTCACGGGGTGAGGACACCCACATCTGTTGCTTCTCTCAGCGTCTCCGCGTGACCCGGTGTCCGGGACTTTTCTTGGCAGGGAAAGCTGGAGGGAGCCTGGAAAACTAAGCCGTTGTCTTTGATTGCAGTGAGGATAACACATGGGAGCCAGAGGAGAACCTCGACTGCCCAGACCTCATCGCAGAGTTCCTCCAGTCCCAGAAAACCGCGCACGAGAGCGAGAAGTCCGAGGGCAGCAAGCGCAAAGCGGAGTCTGACACGGAGGATAAAGGGGAGGAGAGCAAACCAAAGAAGAAGAAGGAGGAGGTGAGGTGGGGTGGGGTGGGGTTTCTGGGCTCCAAACTCTCCATCAAACCCTTCTCCTGCAGGGAGGGGAAACGATTGTACTACAGCGAGACACAACTGAAGTGCTTTTGAAAAGCTGTAGCTTTGGGAAGGAGGCAGGAGCTGTTGTCTAAGCCAGGGCTCTTGGCAAATCCAGAGCCATTCCCAGCACTGAATTGAAAGCTGGGTTCTCAAACCAAAGGGGTGCAGAGCCCCAGCTTCTCGAGGGGTGAAACAGGAGGCAGGAGTTGCCTGTTGCTCCTTAAAGAGGGAGAGGGAGGTGGAGCAGGGAGCCTCCTGCTCAGGGGGCTCATGTTTGCTTGGGAAAAGGAGCAGCAGAAAGGCTCTGCAGCCTGGTTTTCAGCCCAGGAGCTCCTGAGTCTTGGCCAGAGCGAGGGTTTGACCAGTTGGGGCTTAGAAATCAGATCCTCCGCTTGCAGCATGAGCTGGGGCACTCCAGGGCCTGGCAGGAGGTCACCACAGAGTCACAGAATGGTTTGGGCTGGAAGGGACCTTAAAGATCATCGTGTTCCAACCCCCCCTGCCCTGGGCAAGGACACCTCCCCCTGAAACACCACCCACAGGTCACCTCTGTGCAGTGGGTTTACACCTGAGTGGTCACAGTTCCTTTGGTAATTACAGTCTGAGCACCTTCAGAACAGCCACCAGCGCGTCCCAGTGACCAGAAGCAGGGCTGTGGCCGTCACCCCGTGATGCCACAAGTCAAAACTTGTCTCTTTTCAGTCGGAGAAACCGCGAGGCTTTGCCCGAGGATTTGAGCCCGAGCGAATCATCGGTGCCACGGATTCCAGCGGGGAGCTCATGTTCCTGATGAAGTGGTGAGTGTGTCTTGGTGTCTGTCACTTCTTCACTTATTCTGTGCCAGAGAGGGAAGGACCTGCGCCCGGGGAGTCCCTGCTACCTGGCATGAAAGCTCTCGCGATGGCGCTGCTGCCTGAGGTGACCCTCTGCGCCGAGGCTAACGCGGATGTGAAACCAGCAGGTAGGGCCCTCGGGATCCTGTGGCTCTTAAGGTGTCCCCCTGCAGCAGGAGTGAGCTTGGGGAGAGAGAGAGAAAGAGAGAGAGGGGGCACAGTGTCACGGCGCGGGGCTGCAGTTCCCCAAGGCTGCACCCAGAGGAGAGCCCTCACCATGACCCGAGTGTCCCCTTCAGCCCTGGTGACACGGGGCCTGTCGCTGGCGCAGGTGGGAGCCAAACCAGCCTGGCGTAGGGCTGGGACCCGTTTGCTTTTGCACCATCTCAGGAGCACGGAGTGGCTGGGGACGGGGGACGGCGGCTTTGATTTGGCTTCTCTTCCCCCCATCCCCAGCTGAACTCACCTGAATTTCTCCTGGGCTCACCTTCTGCTTCTCCCAGCTCCAGAGCCATCGGGAAAGGGTGGCTTGGATCCCCCGAGCACTCCGGGGACTCCCCTTACCTGCTGATTCTCGATTTATTTATTTTTTTGCCTCTGGTCTCCACTTCTTCCCCCTCCCCCCCACATCCCCTGACTTACCCCTCTGCTCTGACCCACAGGAAGAACTCGGACGAGGCCGACCTGGTCCCCGCCAAGGAAGCCAACATCAAGTGCCCCCAGGTGGTCATCTCCTTCTACGAGGAGAGGTTGACATGGCATTCCTACCCCTCAGAGGACGATGACAAGAAAGAGGACAAGAACTAAACCCACACCCCCCCCCCTCCCTTTCCTCCTTGGCCACCCGCCTTTGTATAAAAGATCTGAACTGTGGGTTTTTGAGCAAGAGGGAGAGAAGGCGGCTCTGCTCGGTCGGGAGCGGAGAGATGGCTGAAGACGATGCCCTTTGAAGAGACCAGTATGGTTTCTGTGCCCCGCGGCTGCTCCACTGCTTTCTGCAGCTTCACGCTGTGTACAGATTCAAACCAGCCCGGCTCAGTCTGGTGGGGAAGTTTTGGGGGGGTGGGGGTGGGGGATGAGGATAAAGGGAAGGGCAGGGGGATATTTGGGGAGGGAGGAACGGGGGGGTGTTTGTTCCAAGGCTGACTCTTCTGCAGCTCGTGGGA